CTATAAGAGCATTAGTGAGGTCGGGCACTGATGTTGGGCTATTAGGTGTTCGATGGGGTTGAGGTCAGGGCTCTGTGCAGTCAAGTTCTTCCACACTGATCCGACACCCTTTCTGTATGGACCTCGCTTTGTGCACGGGGTCATTGTCATGCTGAAACAGGAAAGGTTCTTCCCCAAACTGTTGCCACAAAATTGGAAGCACAGAATCATCTAGAATGTCATTGTATGCTGTAGTGTAAAGATTTCCCTTCACTGGAACTAAGGGGCCTAGCCTGAACCATGAAAAACAGCGACAGACCATTATTCCTCCTTCACCAAACTTTACAGTTGGCCCTATGCATTGGGGCAGGTAGCATTCTCCTGGCATCCGCCAAACCCAGATTCGTCCATCGGACTACCAGATGGTGAAGCGTGATTCATCACTCCAGAGAACGCGTTTCCACTGCTCCAGAGTCCAATAGCAGCGAGGTTTACACCACTCCAGCCGACGGTTGGCATTGCGCGTGGTGATCTTAGGCTTGTGTGCGGCTGCTCGGCCATGGAAACCCATTTCATGAAGCTCCGGACAAACAGTTATTGTGCTGACGTTGCTTCCATAGGCAATTTGAACTCAGTAGTGAGTGTTGCAACCGAGGACAGACGATTTTTAGCGCTTGGCGGTCCTGTTCTGTGACCTTGTGTGGCCTACCATTTCGCGGCTAAGCCGTTGTTGCTCCTAGACGTTTCCACTTCACAATAACAGCACTTATAGTTGACCGAGGCAGCTCTAGCAGGGCAGAAATTTGACAAACTGACTTGTTGGAAAGGTGGCATCCTATGACAGTGCCACGTTGAAAGTCACTGAGCTCGTCAGTAAGGCCATTCTGCTGCCAATATTTCTCTATGGAGATTACATGGCTGTGTGCTGGATTTTATACACCTGTCAGCAATGGGTGTGGCTGAAATAGCCAAATCCACTAATTTGAAGGGGTGTCCACATACCTTTTTGTGTGTGTGTATTTTTGGTATCTCCGATATTTCTGGCAATTCTCACAAACTTTATTTGGAGGAAGAATGTTTTGACATGCTATTTACATTTCAATCACAGCCATTTTTAAAAATCATGATGAAAGTGGCCATTTACGGCCTTTTTAGACCTATACATGCCTCCTGTAAGACCCTATGATCTGTAAACCGTACATGATGCAGACAACATCTTGCTGTCATTATATTCCATAGTGTGCTCAAATATGCAGTATCTGTAGATTCTGAAATGGTCACATTTATTTAACATTACAAATATGAATGTCTCAAAAGTACCCTTTTTAGATTTAGCTTATTTTTATACATTGTTTGTAACAATATACTCTTCAAACACGTCACATTTCCAGAGTGGGCTCTGTGGTACTTTTCATGATATGACCCATTTTATGCATAGACATTTTATACTTTAGGATTGTACATTCAGCAAATCACCAGCAGAGGGAGGAAGCTTTGAATCAATTTTCCATTCACTGTGTTGGTGGTGCTCATAAAATGTATCATACCTCCAGAATTAGCAGAGAGCCCACTCTGGAACTTTGATGTACTTGTAGAGTATATTGTGCCAAAAAATGTCTTAAAATGAACAAACTCAAAAACGGTAGGTTGGAGAGATTAATATCCAGTGGCGTCACGCACCCATTATTTTAGAGTGGGGAAAGAATAACAATAATAATATGCCATTTAGCAGACGCTTTTATGTGTGCATACATTTTTACCTATGGGTGGTCCCGGGGATCGAACCCACTACCCTGGCGTTACAAGCGCCATGCTTTACCAATTGAGCTACAGAGGACCACATGAGGATGGAGGGGGGGTGCCCCCTTCCGGAAGTTGAAAAATGTAACATTTTTAAACACCTGAAACAGCTTTTTTCTGCAATCTAGAGCCATAAACATGCCTAATTCTATGTCAATATATATATTTTTCTGCATAGGTTATCTAAGCATACTGATCAATTGTCATTTTAATGAGGGTGTCATTCTGACTGTTGTAAATCACACATTTCAATATACTGCAGCAACATGCCTAGGATATTACAACACAGTACATGGGATCATAACACATCATCTCGACAGACACATATCATGGCATCATAATTAATACACACAAATATCATGATATTATTATAAGGTGCCAGATTACATAAACCAAGTATTTTTCTGCGTTTCTAAGCATAGGCTACCTCTTGAGCTGTCTGTGTCCTCTGACTGGTGGTTCTTTTTTTAAATAAACTAAATATGCTTCTCTGCATCTCTGCTAAAATCTGGTTACATAGATCAAATTAATTTACACACGAGTTCTGTCCATCACCAGCAGCTAAAATCAAATCCAGCGCTGTGTGTCACTTCACTCTCACGCCACTCCGCTGATGATACTGTCTGCACGCACTACAGTATCTAGCGTCCTGCCTAGCATACCTTTGCTTTATGGAGCACCTTGGAAGGAACCACTTGCTAGGGAGAAGAACCCACTTACTGGGGGGGACTCTTTGCCTGGTCCAGTCATTGTGCCCCTTCTGCAAAATACCGCTGACAGATCATTTTATAAATAATTATGATAAAACGTGGGCTTAAATATGAAGTTGAGTAATTTAATTTAAAAAATAGGACAAATCTGTTAATATCTTTTAATGTTGAATAAATTAATGTGAAATTGTATTTCAGAATCAAGATGTACTCCATATTTTAGAGCACACTAAGGAGTATAATGATACCAAGATGTTGTCTGTGCCATGTACGGTTCATAGGGTCTTACAGGAGACATGTATAGGTCTAAAGTTGCCACTTTCGTCATGGATTCTCTCATGGTTTGTGATACAAATGTAAAAAGCATGTTAAACATCCTTCCTCCCAATGAAGTTCCTATGTTAGAATTGCTGGAACAATCTGAGATACTAAAAATATTTTCCGTTGCCGTGGAATCGGCTGTTACGTTAAATGGGAAGATGTGTTATGTGGAAGGAAGGGGACTCTCTGTTCCATTCACATTTATTTTGTTGAGTTATCAGGAGAATGTAGATATGCTTCAGTGGACTGACACACACACACACACACACACACACACACACACACACACACACACACACAGGCTAGCTCACTGGGCTCTGTGTATTCAGATGTTACACACACAGTAACCAATCATCTGGTGTTATGATAAGACGCTGCATTCACAGTAACTAATCTGGTGTTATGATAAGATGCTACATTCACAGTAACCAATCATCTGGTGTTATGATAAGATGCTACATTCACAGTAACCAATCATCTGGTGTTATGATAAGATGCTGCATTCACAGTAACCAATCATCTGGTGTTATGATAAGACGCTGCATTCACAGTAACTAATCATCTGGTGTTATGATAAGATGCTGCATTCACAGTAACCAATCATCTGGTGTTATGATAAGATGCTGCATTCACAGTAACCAATCATCTGGTGTTATGATAAGATGCTGCATTCACAGCAACCAATCATCTGGTGGTATTATTAAAGAGAAACCGAACGTGCTGTCCTTGCCTCAGTGTCTCTGTACTGTAAATCATCGCCACTCTTGATTGGTTAACCAGGTTAACTCACCATCCGACGGGCAACTAGGTTAACTCCATAAGGCAGTGTTTTTCAATTCTGGTGCTGGGGACCCACAGGGTGTGCACTGTGCAGGCTTTTGTTCTAGCCCAGTAACACACCTATAGCCTACATGAAGACCTTGATAAGTTGAATGAGCTGGGTGGGCTGAAACAAGCCTGCACTTTCTTTACCTTAGCTCTCTAGGATTGAAGAGCACTGCTGTAACACTCTTCTAAAAGAGTTCAGGGGTACTGTAGGGGTTGAGTTCTACTAGCGCTATGGTTGGTTCTGGTTGGTGCCCCTGCCCTGTGGGAGAGGACTAACAGTATGCTACTGTGTGTTGGACTAGAGAACAGCTAGCTACAGCTAGGAGCAGAGTGCTTCACTGCATCTCAGTGAACTGGGATACACTGGTTGGCCCCTGCCATCTCATTCGTTGGCTGGCCTGCATGGAATGGCCTGGCCCAGAAACCAGGTTCTGATCTGGATGATGAGTTCACTCTACTGTTCACGTGCGCGCAGCTACACACACACACACACACAGAGTAGCCTACCACTTCTGCTTCTCTTCTTAAGCAGATGCAGATATCGACCTCTATCTGTCTCAGTGAGTTTCCCAGCCCAGTCCGGTGCTGTCGCCTGAGGTGAACTAGCTGGTTGACCTAGAAAGCACATTTTATAACGCTGGGCTGAACATGACCTTGTGCTAAAGAGGCTTTCAAGGCTCGTTCCCACAAAGTCACGCAGACACTCAGTGCTGCCTGGTGAAGCACTCACAGAAAATCTAATCAGTCAGTCTAATAAGACTCCTTGCAGGGGGTGAGGGAGTTTACAGCCGCCAGCTACTGTCTGTCAGTGTGGCTGCAAGCACTGAAGTGTTTCTGTGGGGAATGGGAACTGAAATGTTTCTGTGGGGAATGGGAACTGAAATGTTTCTGTGGGGAATGGGAACTGAAATGTTTCTGTGGGGAATGGGAACTGAAATGTTTCTGTGGGGAATGGGAACGCTCCCATAGGGTCATTTTTCTTTTATGTCTATTTAGGTCTATTTAGCTATTTACCTGCAGAAGTGCCATGTATTGCCTGCGTTTCACCTACACATAGACAAGGAATCAGAAAGATCACTACTGGAATTCTTTATATTTTGGTTGTTATCAGTCAAATAAATTCTCAGAGCAGGCTCAACTTGCCTGACTGCCATAAATGGTCTTTCTTCACTTTAAACAATGGGGAGGAACCAGAAAGATCAGAACCAGAAAGATCAGTTTTAGGCTCCTGGAGATTAACTAGTACGACAACTCAGTTCACTTGCCCCAGGCAATAGGGCAACCCTTAATGTCAATCCCTGCTTCTGAGTATTGTGATACGGGTTCCTTCTCAACCCTACTTCTAACCCAATCTCTCTCCTCCCACAGTAACCCTTCCTTCCCAGGATGGAGGAGATTGTTGTAGCAGGGATATCGGGCCGGCTTCCTGAGTCGGACAACCTGGAGGAATTCTGGGAGAACCTCTTCAATGGGGTTGACATGGTAACAGAAGATGACCGACGGTGGAAGCCAGGTGAGCCCCCGTGACCTTTCCATGACCCGGATGTGACTATTATGACCCACAAACATCAGACTTGTTGCTGTTGTTTTTTCAAATTCTTTGAACTCTGAAATCCCAACAAGCTTTGGTAACTTTCATTTTTACATTTTAGTCATTTAGCAGACGCTCTTATCCAGAGCGACTTACAGCTACCTTGCATCACAGTGTATTCTGCTTCGTAAACCGATGAGTAGCTCATTGTAGCATAAATTGGGTTGCAGATTTGAACCAAAATCCACATTGTAGACGAATGTATAATTTGAACATAAAGAATGTGGGTGTACTGCCTAGTTATGGATGTTGCATCAACCACATGACAGGAAATACCTCCCTTCCCTGGAAGAACATTCTGACCACAGACCTGGTTAGCTGTACTTTGCATCACCATCAATGGGAGTTCAATGAGTAGAATGCTGAATGCTTCCTCCACAGTGTTTTACTGGCCCATTCAGTCAGTGCCCAGCGTCCACTACCCACATGAACACAAAGGAACCCTGGCTAGCGCTGTTGGCCGTTAGCTGTAAGATGAGGCTCTGTGTGAGAGCTGCTCTGTAGTCTCTGAAGGCGTTTTGTGTCTGTCTGCTCTGCTGACGGGCTGGGTTGTTGGCACTGCTTCTCCTTCGTGGCATGGCTTGCTTGGATTCTCTCTCTCTCTATTTCTCCCTCTTTCTTTCCTCTCTCTCGTTCTACCTTTCTCCCTTTTTTCTTCTTAGCCCCGTCTCACCTCCGTAGCGCGCTCTCTCTCTCTGTCTCTCTGTCTCTGTCTCTCTCTCTCTCTGTCTGTCTCGCTCTCACCTCCGTAGCTCTCGCTCTCTGTCTCTCTCTCACCTCCGTAGCTCTCTCTCACTTTCGCTCTCTGTCTCTCTCTCTCTTCCTCCCTCTCTCTCGCTCTCTCTCTCTGTGTCTCTCTCTCACCTCCGTAGCTCTCTCGCTCTCGCTCTCTGTCTCTCTCTCTCTGTCTCTCTCTCTCTCTTCCTCCCTCTCTCTCTCTCTGTCTCTCTCTCTTTCTCTCTCTCTCTCTGTGTCTCTGTCTCACCTCCGTAGCTCTGTCTGTCTGTCTGTCTGTCTCTCTGTCTCTCTCTCTCACCTCCGTAGCTCTCTCTCTCTCTGTTACTCCCTCGCTTGCTTGATCTCTCCGTCTCTCTGTTCCTCTCTTTCCTCTCTGTGAATAGCACCTCTCATCAGTCAGTGCCTGGCAACCAGCTAAAGCTCGCATTCATGTGCAAAAAGGCCCTGGGCTGACGGCACCACAGGAGAGGAGGAAAAATCAGGGAGTGGAGAAAAGAGGAGAGGATAGGGCCTTATATGCTGTCTGTATAGAAATACTGAGAGGATAGGGCTTTGTATGCTGTCTGTATAGAAATACTGAGAGGATAGGGCCTTGTATGCTGTCTGTATAGAAATACTGAGAGGATAGGGCTTTGTATGCTGTCTGTATAGAAATACTGAGAGGATAGGGCCTTGTATGCTGTCTGTATAGAAATACTGAGAGGATAGGGCCTTGTATGCTGTCTGTATAGAAATACTGAGAGGATAGGGCCTTGTATGCTGTCTGTATAGAAATACTGAGAGGAAAAACGGTCCTGCTTTAGATGCGTGTGAAACTATGACATGAATTCATTCATTCATTCACTATTCCAGTCATGTCACATGAATCTGTTCAGCTTATCCAGTCAGTGACTGCAGGCAGAACCATGCTGTCTGGGACACCCAGTGATCCGGTTATTAATCCCTTAATGATCCATGTGTCATTCCCATTCATTCCCAGGTCTGTACGGTCTTCCCAAGAGGAACGGAAAGCTGAAGGATATCAGCCGGTTCGATGCTGCGTTCTTCGGGGTCCATCCCAAACAGGCCCACACCATGGACCCTCAGCTCCGACTCATGCTGGAGATAGCCTACGAAGCCATTGTAGACGGAGGTGAGGCGAGGAGAGGGGGGGATGGATGGATGGATGGATGTGTAGAGATACGTTTTATTTGGGAAACTGTGTAAATAGACACAGTAAAATGTATTTGTTTATTTGGATCCCTGTTAGCTGTTACTATAACAGCTGCTGTTCCTGTCGTCCATAGATTACATTATCCACATATCAAACAGTTAATGTTTAAACGTTCATAGACCTGTGTGTGAGATTAGTTTTTGTAATGTGTGTTTACAGGTCTGAACCCGACAGAGCTGCGGGGCAGCAGGACAGGTGTTTACATTGGGGTGAGCGGCTCGGAGGCGGGCGAGGCCTTCAGCAGAGACCCTGAGGAGTTGCTAGGATACAGCATGACGGGCTGCCAGCGTGCCATGTTCGCCAACCGACTGTCCTACTTCTTCGACTTCAACGGTATGACCTCATCTAGCACGGCAGTGGCTTCTCTTAAGCAGTTTTGTCACATTATGGTATCAGCTGTCTTCAAAAAGATGATCTACCCTTAACTCAACGTTCTCCAGTTTCTGATCTCTTCAATCACTCTCTCCATCTGATCGCTCATCTACCTCCAGTCTCTCTCTTATCTACATCTCTCTCTCTCTATTCTCTACTCTCTCTCTCTCTCCCCCTCCTCTCTCTCTCCAGCTCTCGCTCCATCCTCTCTTCGCTCCGTACCTCCTCTCTCTCTTTCCATCTATCGCTATCTCCCTCCTCTATCTCTCGCTCCATCCTCTCTCTCGCTCTCTTCCTCTCACTCCCATCTCTCTCTCCACCTCTCCATCTCTATCTCCCCTCTCTCTCCCTCTCCATCTCTCCATCCAGGCCCCAGCACAGCCATCGACACGGCCTGCTCCTCTAGCCTATTGGCTTTGGAGAACGCCTTCAACGCCATTCGCCATGGACAATGTGACTCTGCCCTGGTGGGCGGGGTCAACCTGCTGCTCAAGCCAAACACCTCGGTGCAGTTCATGAAGCTGGGCATGCTCAGTCCGGACGGAACCTGCAAGTCCTTTGACTCCTCAGGTAAGAGGGTGAGAGACCTGGGTTGTGTTCAGAATGGCGCAATGTACAGCATTAAATGTTGGAGATAAAATGCTTCTCATGCAGAACACACACCCACATACAGCAGCACTATTTCCTGATCCGGCCCTGAAAGCACACTAACATTACTTCCTGGTGCGCTCCTCTATGTGTTCCCCCAGGAAACGGGTACTGTCGTTCGGAGGCTGCGGTGGCGGTGCTGTTGACCAGACGCTCCATGGCTAAGAGGGTGTACGCCACGGTACTCAACGCTGGTAACAACACTGACGGATACAAGGAGCAGGGTGAGAGACTACACCCCATTATAGCGCGCCACTGAGGGTACTTGCCCAGCGCCACTATCCACAAGGCACTGAGGTAGACCTTAAAAACCCAGCATGGTTTCCCAGTCTTATATACACCTCCAGCACCTCTCTTAAACTTCTCCCAGATCTAAAAGGATTTTATGATTGTAAGCAACGTTGTTATATTTCTGCCTAACTCTCTGGTAGGTTACGTATAGTTTCCACAAAAATGTACTGTAAATGCCAAGCAGTAACCCAGTATAAACATTATTTTCATGGAGAAACACAATTCCCTTGGTGGCCTCTGTTGCATTTCCCATAATCCCTTTTGGTCTATTGTCCAATAGGTTGTGAGGCCTCACTGACCCACCCACTGTTTTCCTGACTCCCCAGTGTAGCTCTGCTGTTATCTGTGGTGTAATCTAGATAATACCCAGGCAGTGCCAGCTCCAACTCTTATACAGACAGATTGATGAGGGGAGTGTAATAGAGATTCCCTGTCATTCCTCACACGCTTAGCGCTGCAGGCCTGTATTTCTACAGAGCTGGCTGTAGAGGGGGACACATTCTCTGGAGTGTGACACTGGAACACACAGCTTCTGGATCCCACAGTGGCTGGTCAGCATTTTTAGGATGTTCCGTACCACACTTCACCTCCCTCTGCTCTGGTAGTCTGTCAGACTGGTGATCCAGTCACAACATACTGGCCTGCCGTGTTTAGAAGGCCAGGCAGGAAACCCTGGGCTAATGTCCCCATAAAGTGACACAGCACTTAGCCGCTCCGGGGTGATGTTTCCCACAGATACAGATCTAGTATCAGCATCCCCTTCCTCAAGCCTTTACCATTAGTGAGGAAAATGCCAAACTGAGCCGAGATCAGCATCCAGGGGCAACCTTATCCTACACCGCTCTTAGCCACTCATGGTACTGCATGTGGGTGACATCTGTTTTACAACATTACATAAAGGTTCTCTGAATGGCTACAGAAAATATAAATTAATTGATTGACGTGTTTGTCCAAGGTGTGACGTTCCCTTCAGGTGAGATGCAGCAACGGCTGGTACGTTCTCTCTACCAGGAGGTCAACATCACGCCTGACCAGGTGGAGTACATCGAGGCCCACGGCACCGGGACCAAGGTGAACACACAGACACTTGATTCATTGTTGTTACCACACCCAATAACGGCATTTTCCAGAATGTTCTGTGGACGGAGTTCTGTCACATTCCTCCCCCTGATACATCGGGTTCCCTCAGTATCTGGTTCCCCTGGTGACCTCAGTCCTTTCTCCTTCCAGGTCGGCGACCCACAGGAAGTGAATGGCATTGTCAGTGTGTTCTGTCAATCAAAGCGTGACCCACTGCTCATTGGGTCCACCAAGTCCAACATGGGCCACCCAGAGCCTGCCTCTGGCCTGGCTGCCCTTGCCAAGGTGAGAACTGGTCTGGGTCTGGTCTGGGCTAACCTCTAGAACAACTGTTGTTGTGTACAAAATCACAATATGTGCAGGCTTTTGGCCAAGCCCAGCACTAACACTTGCCTCTCCCTCTCTCTCTCCCTCCAGGTCGTGTTGTCTCTGGAGCGAGGTGTGTGGGCTCCCAACATCCACTACAACAGCCCCAACACCGACATCCCTGCCCTTAGTGATGGCCGCCTCCGCGTCGTCAACGAGCCCATACCAGTCCGTGGTGGCATCGTTGGCATCAACTCCTTCGGATTTGGAGGCTCCAACGTTCATGTGATCCTCCGCCCCCCTTGTTTTGACATCCCAAAAAACGTCAAAGCGCCCCCCAAGACCCCCTCTGAGTCCTCCCCAGTACCCAGGCTCCTCCAGGCCTGCGGGCGCACAGAGGAGGCTGTCTCTGCCCTCCTCAGCAAGGGGAAGGAACACTCGGGCGACAACAATTTCCTGTGTCTGCTGAACGAGGTGTCCGGGGTGCCCACAGCGGGGATGCCCTACAGGGGCTACGCTCTGATTGGCTCCAAGGATGATGTCACAGAGGTGCAGAAGACTGAGGCCACGCCCAGACCGCTGTGGTACATCTGCTCAGGTAAGCGAGAGGACGGGATAGGAGAGGAAATTAGAAGTTGCCTCTAACCACTGCTACAGGGTCAGATGTAGCATTTCTTCAATCCCCAGCCTAATGGTTAGTGTTAGGGTTGGGGGCAGGGTAATGTGGTCCTGGATCTGTGGTTATGGGCAACTTCTAACTCGAGTGATGAAAGCAGAGGGGTTTAAGAGAGAGGTTTGTGTGTGTGTGTGTGTATATCTCAGGTATGGGCACCCAGTGGGGTGGGATGGGCCGCAGTCTAATGCAGCTGCCAGAGTTCCGGGAGTCCATCTTGCGTTCGGACAAAGCATTGAAGGTCACGGGGATGTGTGTGTCCAGTCTGCTCATGGAGGCCGATGAGAGCACCTTCGAGGACACCGTCCAAGCCTTCGTAGGCCTCGCTGCCATACAGGTACAGTGGAGCAGACATCTTAACTAAGGGCAGATCACCATTTTTACAGAGGGAGGGACACCATTTTAACTAAGCTTAGGGGGGAAATGGCACTGAAACCAAAAGGCAATAGGACTGTGTTGCCCTCCAAAGACCACACAATGTCTCTGACATATCAAGGCTCCTAAAGTCAACCCCCTGTCTGTCCCCCTCTCAGATCGCCCAGATTGACCTGCTCCAGAAGCTGGGTCTGCAGCCGGACGGCATTGTGGGCCACAGTGTTGGAGAGCTGGCCTGTGGCTATGCAGACGGATCCCTCAGTCACAGTGAGGCTATCCTGGCAGCCTACTGGAGAGGGAGGTCCATTAACGAGGCTAACCTGCCCCCCGGTGGCATGGCTGCAGTCGGTAAGGACCAGAGAGTGAAGGTGTGTGCGTGCGAGAGATACTGTGTGGGTGTTTTGAATTGAGTTGGGTCTCTCTCTCTCTCTTGGTCTCTCTCTCTCTCAGGGCTGACCTGGGAAGAGTGTAAGGCACAATGTCCTCAGGGTGTGGTTCCAGCCTGTCACAATGCTGAAGACACTGTCACCATATCTGGCCCTGCGGTAACACATTTTGGTCCAAATCCCTGCAATTGTATCTATCATTAGCGTTATACATTATGTCAAAGATCCTTTCATACTATTGAGACCAATTCTGTCTGTAACCTACATTTCTGCCTGTGAAAACCATACGCCTGAAACTGTGCACTTCTTTTCTGTATGCAGGAGGCAGTGAGTAAGTTTGTAGCAGAGCTGAAGGACAGTGGTGTGTTTGCCAAGGAGGTTCGTAGTGCTGGTGTAGCCTTCCATTCTTACTACATGGCCTCCATCGCTCCCGCCCTGCTGGCCGCTCTCAAGAGGGTAAGACAACGTGTCAAACACTGGAAACGTTTTGAACCAACGGGTTTTAACTGTCAATTCAGGAGGAGAATTTTAAACTACCTTCTTGAATTGAAATATTCCCATACACTAGAAAATCATTTGCCGAATTGACTTACTTTCTCTCTCTCTCCTCCCCCTTTTGTAGGTGATCAAGGAGCCTAAACAGAGGTCTGCCAGGTGGATCAGTACATCTATCCCCCAGAAGGACTGGGACAGCCCGCTAGCTCTGTACTCCTCAGCAGAGTACCATTGTAATAACCTGGTCAGTCCTGTCCTCTTCCAAGAGGGCCTGAGCCTGGTGCCTGATAACGCTGTGGTGGTGGAGATAGCGCCACACGCTCTGCTACAGGTTAGTATACACAGAATATAGAAACACACAGGAGGGGAGGGCTCCACTCATTCACTACTGCTGCAGGTTAGTATACACAGAATATAGAAACACACAGGAGGGGAGGGCTCCACTCATTCACTACTGCTACAGGTTAGTATACACAGAATATAGAAACACACAGGAGGGGAGGGCTCCACTCATTCACTACTGCTGCAGGTTAGTATACACAGAATATAGAAACACACAGGAGGGGAGGGCTCCACTCATTCACTACTGCTGCAGGTTAGTATACACAGAATATAGAAACACACAGGAGGGGAGGGCTCCACTCATTCACTACTGCTGTGAAAACACAAACGCACTGTCTCAACATGACTGCTTTCTCCTCTCAGAAACACACACACACACACCTGACAAAAATGTATGCACGTACTTAGCTGTTGTGGTCATTAGTCTCTGTGTGAAACCTTGCTCTGTCTCCCCCTGCAGGCGATCCTGAAGCGCAGCCTGAAGCCCACATGTTCCATCCTGCCCCTGATGAGGAGAGGCCATGCCAACAACCTGGAGTTCTTCCTCTCTCACATTGGCAAGGTCTACATGAACGGGTCAGGACCTGCTACTGACACACCACGCCTCTGATGATGTCATCATTATGCAACTGATGCTGTTCTATTCTCCAAACCTAATTCAGCTTTAAAACACAGCTTTATCTGGTGTTCTTTTAATGAAGACACCAGCTATGTCGCAATACTGCAAGATGGCCTTCTGACCTTGCAGTTTACTCTTATAAACTCTTATGGCCCCTAGTACAAGCCAAAACATGCAGGTCAAATATTTAGTTTTGAGTCCTAGAAAAGCTATACTTGGGTCAGATGTCTCAATACCAAGCGTCTCTCCTTTGTGTCCAGGATCAACGTGGACAGTAAGCAGCTGTACCCGCCTGTGGAGTACCCGGTGCCCGCGGGCACCCCTCTGATCTCCCCCCTGGTGCAGTGGGACCACGCCCAGACCTGGGACGTACCCAAGGCTGAGGACTTCCCTGCTGGTTCTGGAGGATCCACCTCAGCTACCATCTATAACATTGGTGAGAGACATGCATACACCAATACAGAATACACACACACACAAACTTGTACGTATGTACGCACACACACACAAATCACACACACAGACACACAAACCACATACAAACCACATACACACACTATCAGACAATAACAGAGTTGATCTCCTCTCCCCCTAGACATGAACCCAGAGTCTCCGGACTACTATATGATTGGCCACTGCATTGATGGGCGTGTCTTGTACCCGGCCACGGGTTACCTGGTGCTGGCCTGGAGGACCCTGATTAGGAGCCTGGGAGTTGTCATGGAAACCACCCCCGTCACCTTCGAGGACGTCACCATCCACAGGGCCACCATCTTACCCAAGACTGGTGAGAGAGGGACTGAGAAGGGTTTGATCATGGGTTGTCTGTTTGGGTTGTCAATCTTTTGCTGTGGTTCATTGCTGACCTTCAATGTTCTCTCTCTCTCTCTCGCTCTTTTTTTTTTTTTTTTCTCTTCAGGTTTTTTTCTTTCTCTGTCCTCGTCTGGGTCGTTCTCACTCTCCTTCCACTTCATCGTCTTCGAGGTCTCTGTCGTCAATCCTGTGCTCTCATCGTACTATACTCTACTCTCCTATAACATCCAAGTCAATCTCTTGATACGTAATCAACTGGTCTCTACATCTCTTACATTATACTAGTGTATATGATGCTCATGTCAATCGTGTACATTAATAATGAACGTAGTGTATAATCATTCAATCAATGTGTACTAATAGATAGTCACAACTAGTGAGATCTCTGTACATACACACCTTCTCCTTGGTCCTCCACAGTCTCTCACCTATCCCATGCTCTTCTCTGTCTGTGCAGGCAAGGTGAGCATTCTGGAGGACTCTGCTCTGGACTCATTTCGCTCTCAGATCGGTAAGCCTGTCACTGGGGACGACGGTGACCCTAAACTGCGCCTGACGGCCCATGACATCTACAAGGAGCTCCGTCTCCGTGGTTACGACTACGGCAAGACCTTCCAGGGCATCCTGGAGTCCAACAATGCAGGTGTGTGTCTGTCAGAGAAAAAGTTTAGGCTTTGTGAAGGCCTACTTACTACTTGGTGGCTACTAAGATGGCTAGTTTGTTGTAGTAAGTACTATAAGTTGTTTTTCTCAGTCATTGGTTGATTCCCTCTGACTCTGCTCTATCCCTGTCTCTGATTGGCTGTAGGTGACAGTGGGAAGCTGCAGTGGACCGATAACTGGGTGACCTTCCTGGACACCATGCTGCAGATGATCGTGGTTGGCCTATCAGGACGCAGCCTTCGCCTGCCCACGCGGATCCGCTCTGTGTGTGTGGACCCCACCATCCACCAGGAGATGGTCTCTGACTACGCAGAGGGGAAGAAAGGTGTGGAAAAACACACACACACACACTCGACTCAATATGAAGTATGTTTATTTTTTTCTGACTGTCCCCCCCCCACCCCCCTCTCTCTCCATCATCCAGCTGTGGATGTCCACGTCAGCCGTTGCCTTGACAACATTGTGGCGGGCGGAGTACAGATCTGCGGCCTCCACGCCACTGTGGCGCCGCGTCGTCAGCAGCAACAGAGCCCGCCCACCCTGGAGGAGTTTGTGTTCGTTCCCTACCTGGAGACAGAATGCTTGTCAGCCAATGACAAGCTGGGAGACCAACTTAAGAACTGCAAAGGTTAGATGTCTACTTCCTGTTGACTTTATCATCCCAACAGTGAGAAAATCGTTAGGCTTTCAGCTTCAAATCCAATCAAATTTTATTTGCCACATGCGCTGAATACAACAGGTGTAGACATTACAGTGAAATGCTTACTTACAAGCCCTTAACCAACAATGCATTTTTTAAGTAAAAAAAATAAAAGCAAATAACTAAAAAGCAGCAGTAAAATAAAATAACAGTAGGGAGGCTATATACAGGGGGGTACTGGTGCAGAGTCAATGTGCGGGGGCACCGGCTAGTCGAGGTAATTGAGGTAATATGTACATGTGGAGTTAAAGTGACTATGCATAAATAATAAACAGAGTAGCAGCAGCGTAAAAGAGGGGGGTGGGTGGGGTTGGGGGGGCAGTGCAAATAGTCTGGGTAGCAATGATTAGCTGTTCAGGAGTCTTATGGCTTGAGGGTAGAAGCTGTTGAGAAGCCTTTTGGACCTAGACCGGTACCGCTTGCCGTGCGGTAGCAGAGAGAACAGTCTATGACTAGGGTGGCTGGAGTCTTTGAATTTTCAGGGGTTTCCTATACCTGACACCGCCTGGTATAGAGGTCCTGGATGGCAGGAAGCTTGGCCCCAGTGATGTACTGGGCCGTACGCACTACCCTCTGTAGTGCCTTGCGGTCGGAGGCCGAGCACTTGCCATACCAGGCGGTGATGCAACCAGTCAGGATGCTCTCGATGGTGCAGCTGTAGACCTTTTTGAGGATCTGAGGACCCATGCCAAATCTTTTCAGTCTCCTGAGGGGGAATAGGCTTTGTTGTGCCCTCTTCACTACTGTCTTGGTGTGTTTGGACCATGATAGTTTGTTGGTGATGTGCACACCAAGGAACTTGAAGCTCTCAACCTGTTCCACTACAGCCCCGTCGATGAGAATGGGGGCGTGCTCAGTCCTCTTTTTTTTCCTGTAGTCCACAATCATCTCCTTTGTCTTGATCATGTTGAGGGAGAGGTTGTTATCCTGGCACCACACGGCCAGGTCTCGGACCTCCTCCCTATAGGCTGTCTCATCGTTGTCGGTGATCAGGCCTACCACTGTTGTGTCGTCAGCAAACTTAATGATGGTGTTGGTGTCGTGCCTGGCCATGCAGTCATGGGTGAACAGGGAGTACAGGAGGGGACTGAGCACGAACCCCTTAGGGGCCCCCGTGTTGAGGATCAGCGTGGCAGATGTGTTGTTACCTATACTTACCACCTGGGGGCGGCCCGTCAGGAAGTCTAGGATCCAGTTGCAGGAGGTGTTTAGTCACAGGATCCTTAGCTTAGTGATGAGCTTTGAGGGCACTATGGTGTTGAACGCTGAGCTGTAGTCAATGAACAGCATTCTCACGTAGGTGTTCATCTTGTCCAGGTGGGAAAGGGCAGTGTGGAGTGCAATAGAGATTGCATCATATGTGGATCTGTTGGGGCGGTATGCAAATTGGAGTGGGTTTAGGGTTTCTGGGATAATGGTGTTGATTTGAGCCATGACCAGCCTTTCAAAGCACTTTATGGCTACAGACGTGAGTGCTACGGGTCGGTAGTCATTTAGGCAGGTTATCTTAGTGTCCTTGGGCACAGGGACTATGGTGGTCTGCTTGAAACATGTTGGTATTACAGACTCAGTCAGGGACATGTGGAAAATGTCAGTGAAGACACTTGCCAGTTGGTCAGCACATGCTCGGAGTACACGTCCTGGTAATCCGTCTGGCCCTGCGGCCTTGTGAATGTTGACCTGCTTAAAAGTCTTACTTACATCGGCTACGGAGAGCGTAATCACATAGTCATCCGGAACAGCTGGTGCTCTCATGCATGCTTCAGTGTTGCTTGCCTCGAAGCGAGCATAGAAGTGATTTAGCTCGTCTGGTAGGGTTGTGTCACTGGGCAGCTCGCGGCTGTGCTTCCTTTTGTAGTCTGTAATCGTTTTCAAGCCCTGCCACATCCAACGAGTGTCAGAGCTGGTGTAGTACGATTCAATCTTAGTCCGGTATTGACTCTTTGCCTGTTTGATGGTTCATCAGAGGGCATAGCGGGATTTCTTTATAAGCGTCCGGGTTAGAGTCCCACTCCTTGAAAGCGGCAGCTCTACCCTTTAGCTCAGTGTGGCTGTTGCCTGTAATCCATGGCTTCTGGTTGGATTCCTCAATGCTATCTGAAGAATCCCGGAACATATTCCAGTCTGTACTAGCAAAACAGTCCTGTAGCTTAGCATCTGCATCATCTGACCACTTTTTTATTAACTGAGTCACTGGTGCTTCCTGCTTTAGTTTTTGCTTATAAGCAGGAATCTGGAGGATAGAGTTATGGTCAGATTTGCCAAATGGAGGGCAAGGGAGAGCTTCGTATGCGTCTCTGTGTGTGGAGTAAAGGTGGTCTAGAGTTTTTTTTTTTTCCTGTGGTTGCACATTTAACATGCTGGTAGAAATGAGGTAGAACGGATTTAAAATCACAGTTAACATTTAAAAAAAGGTATGGCCACCCCTACCTAAACAACCCCTACCTGTACAACTCCTACCTATACAACCCCTACCTATACAGCATGCATATAATACTAAAAATAATCACAAAGGGTTAAAGAAGTCTAAATTGATTCCTTTTTAAATAAATGTTCTGCCCATGCATCTCTCCAGGTCTGATCCACAAGCTGCAGAAGAAGCTGGCTCCTCAGGGCGTCAAGCTCTCCATCCCTGGTCTAGATGGGTGTGTCTGACCCTGCTGTACCCAGCCCAGAGCCCTCTGAGCCTGGCTTGCTGCGGCTGCTGTCCCTGCTGTGTGGTCTGGAGCTGAACGGTAACCTGCGGTCAGAGCTGGAGAAGACTGTTGAGAAGGAGAGGGGTTGTCTCCTCCAGGACCCCCTGATACATGGCTTACTGGACAGCCCAGCCCTCAGACACTGTCTGGACACAGCCCTGGAGAACACTACCCCTGGGAAGATCAAAGTCCTGGAGGTGAGCTGGACTCGTGCTTCCAAAGCATTGGTCTGGGGACATGATAAAGACATTTAACTAGAAGAAAGTGACAAACCAAACGTATTTGAATGATTCTGAACACACGCTAGCTCTTTAGGACGTCACTGACACAGGGCTAACTCCTAGACCAACAGACACTCCTCTCTAACCCGGCTCTGTCTCTTCCCCCTCAGGCTCTCTCCAGCGACGGTCGTCTCTTCTCCCGCGCCGTGCCCCTCCTCAACATCCAGCCCATGCTCCGCCTCGACTACGTTGCCACGGCAACAACCCTCGACCTCCTGACCCCCCACCAGACCACCCTGGATGCCCTGGGGGTCACCGCGGCGCAGTGGGACCCCCACCAGGGCCCCGTGCCCGGGGGAGCAGTCGGAGGGGCTGATCTGGTGGTGTGTAACCACGCCTGGGGGCCCCTCGGGGGCCGGGGCAGAGGTGGTGGTGGGGAACCTGGCCTCGGGGGCCAAGGAGGGGGGCTTTGTGATGCTCCACACCCTACTGAAGGGAGAGACGCTAGCAGAGACGGTGGCCTTCCTCACCTCCAAGGACAGCCAGGCCAACCATCAGAGACTGTTCTCACAGGTCAGTCACACTGCAGTGGAAATCAGAAGCCAAGACCTATTCTTAGCCCTTAGCTACCCTTCAAGTATTATAGCGGGGCTCTATCAGCTTCAGACAGTCTTTAGTGAGGATCCATAAATCTGTGACCGTTCTCTCAGTGATGACCTGTTATGATATCTAATGCTGCTGTTATTGTCCTCCTCTTCTCTAGGCTGAGTGGGAGACGGCGTTCTCTGATACGTCTCTCAACTTGGTGGCTGTCAGGAAGTCCTTCTATGGCTCCGCCCTATTCCTGTGTCGCCGTCGGTTACCCAGCAAACAGCCCATCTTCCTACCTGTGGACAGCATGGACTACCAGTGGGTGGACACACTCAAGGTGAGGAAAACGTGTGACTCTGTGTTAACTGCTTATTAAGTGCTTATAAGCCTTTATAACTGTGTCTCTCCCCCTGTCAGGCGACGCTGGCTGAGCCCTCAGACTCTCCGGTCTGGCTGACTGCTACCCAGACCCACTCTGGGGTGGTGGGCATGGTCAACTGTCTACGCCAGGAGCCTGGTGGCAACCGCGTACGGTGAGACTAAAGCCTGGTCTGAAACAACCCCTCACCTCTTTCCCTAGACACTTGGATTGGTATTAGAAGCACAGTTGTGTATGTCTTAAAAGATGTGTATATATTAGAAAGGTAATAGCTTGGCTGTGAATCATACAGTACAATGAATGGAAGACTAAAGCTGTACCTCTGTCCTCATCTCTACTCTCTCTCTCTCTCTCCAGGTGTGCGTTTGTGTCCAACCTGTGTGAGTCCTCTGCGGTGCCCACCCTGCAGCCTACCCATAGTTCCATGAGGTCTGTGCTGGAGGGAGACCTGTGTATGAACGTGTTCAGGGATGGACAGTGGGGAGTCTTCAGACACCAGCTCATCTCTCAGGGTACGACAACCACACCACCATCTCCCCTCTCTCTCTTGTTCTTGCTCTAGCAAGATCTGAAAAGTTGCACCCAATGAGATATCTTGAGACAAAATTCTCACATTCCATCATTGCATAGGAGCTTGATGATATAATTGCAAGAAAGTGCTTCCCTAATGATGAAACACTAGAACAGCTGATGTCAGACTAGCCCTAGGCTCAAGAATATGCTGATAAAACGTTCATCTTGGACAATGAGTTCCAAATCCTCTGTTCATCATGCTACAAAGCTTAACATCTCTCCTCTCCCCTCAGATCTGAGTGAGGAGTTGACAGAGCAGGCGTACGTTAACGTGTTGACCCGCGGTGACCTCTCCTCCCTGCGTTGGATCGCCTCGCCCCTCCGTCATTTTGTGGCGAGCAGCCCCAACGTGCAGCTGTGTCGCGTCTACTACAGCTCCCTGAACTTCAGAGACATCATGCTGGCCACCGGGAAACTCCCACCGGACGCCATCCCAGGTACACACATCATTTTGGAGACAAATGCACAGGGAAACTCGCCCACACAGCCAGGTTTACACACACACACCCACAACAACCTCACCACCCTCCCCTCCTCTCCCTCTGTAGGTGACCTGGCCCTGCAGCAGTGCATGTTGGGTATGGAGTTCTCAGGTCGAGACCCCAGCGGTAGGCGTGTGATGGGGCTGCTGCCTGCTAAAGGCCTGGCCACCTGCGTCGACGCTGACACACGCTTCCTCTGGGACGTCCCAGACAGCTGGTGAGGCACTACGGACGATCCCAAATGGCACCCTATTCCCTATGCACTTGAGTAGGAGTGCTGATCTTGGATCAGTAGGAGCATTTTAAATCATAATAAATAAGGGGGGGGGAACCCTGATCCTAGATCAGCACTCCTATAATTTGTGAATACAGAGCCACATAGGACTTCGTACCTTCAGGCTCTGATCAGTCCCTACACCCAAACGAGGGCATTGCGTTCATCCACCTCTGGCCTGCTGGCTCCCCTTCCTCTGCGGAAGCACAGCTCCCACTCAGCCCAGTCAAAACTGTTCGCTGCTCTGGCACCCCAATGGTGGAACAAGCTCCCTCACGACGCCAGGACAGCGGAGTCACTCACCACCTAACAGGAGACACTTGAAACCCCACCTCTTTAAGGAATACCTGGGATAGGATAAAGTAATCCTTCTACCCCCCCTTACCCCACCCCAAAGAAAAAATAAATAAAAATAAGAAATATTGTAAAGTGGTTGTCCCACTGGCTATCATAAGGTGAATTACACCAATTTGTAAGTCGCTCTGGATAAGAGCGTCTGCTAAATGACGAAAATGTAAATATAAAATGTAAATGGACAAAAAAATATCAGTGATGTTCTGGGAACGGACGACCTATTTACTGGTGACGTCTAGCCTTCTGACTAAGTTATGGTTAGTAACTTAAGTGTTCCCTCTCTCTCTCTAGGACCCTGGAGCAGGCGGCGTCGGTGCCGGTGGTCTACGCTACAGCCTACTATTCGCTGGTGGTACGAGGCAGGCTCCGCCCAGGCGAGAGTGTTCTCATCCACTCAGGGTCAGGGGGCGTCGGCCAGGCTGCCATCGCCATCGCACTCAGTCAGCGCTGTACGGTTTTCACTACTGTTGGTGAGTACCAGAGACCACACACACTCAGCCTGTTAATGTCAGGTGTGTCAGTGCATTTAGCTATAGATGTCTCTCTGTAACCTGTGTTTGTGTTCTGTCTCAGGATCAGCAGAGAAGCGTGCCTACCTACAGGAGCGTTTCCCCCAGCTCACCGCTGAGTCCTTCGGCAACTCTAGAGACGCCACCTTCGAACAGCACGTCCTGCTACACACACAGGGAAAAGGTTAGACACACACTTTAAATATCCAAACTTGGCTCACACAAAACACTTCAACTATACACACCCAACATGTCACTGAACTATCAAAATATGCAGTTGTACCTTGCACACATGTTCCCTATATTAAGCCATCAAATCCAGCCTCCCTCACATTCATACGCCATTTAGCAGATGCTTTTATCTAAAGTGACTTACAGTCGTGCGTGCACACATTTTACGTATTGGTGGCCCCAGCGGGAATTGAACCCACAACCCTTGGCGTTGCACGCACCATGCTCTACTGACGGAACCAAAAAAGGACCACTTAAATGGTGTTGCGTATCCTGGATGTCTCTGTGTTTAGGAGTGAACATGGTGTTGTGTATCCTGGATGTCTCTGTGTTTAGGAGTGAACATGGTGTTGTGTATCCTGGATGTCTCTGTGTTTAGGAGTAAACATGGTGTTGTGTATCCTGGATGTCTCTGTGTTTAGGAGTAAACATGGTGTTGTGTATCCTGGATGTCTCTGTTTAGGAGTAAACATGGTGTTGTGTATCCTGGATGTCTCTGTGTTTAGGAGTGAACATGGTGTTGTGTATCCTGGATGTCTCTGTGTTTAGGAGTAAACATGGTGTTGTGTATCCTGGATGTCTCTGTGTTTAGGAGTAAACATGGTGTTGTGTATCCTGGATGTCTCTGTGTTTAGGAGTAAACATGGTGTTGAACTCCCTGGCTGAGGAGAAGCTGCAGGCAAGTCTTCGCTGTCTGGCCCGACACGGACGCTTCCTGGAGATCGGCAAATACGACCTGTCCAACAACTCCCCGCTGGGTCAGTACACAGCACTGCAACTGCTCTCTCCATGGCAGCCATTTTGTGCCTGACTCACTGTGCCACTGCAGCTGATCTTTAGCCGTAATGTCTGACATGCGTCCCTGTTTCCCTCAGGAATGGCTCTCTTCCTGAAGAACGTGGCATTCCACGGGATCCTATTGGACGCCCTGTTTGAGGAGGGAAACAGGGAGTGGGAGGAGGTGTCCCAGCTGCTGAAGGAGGGCATTGTGGGAGGTGTAGTCAAGCCCCTGAGGACTACAGTGTTTGAGAGAGACCAGGTGGAGGAGGCCTTCCGATACATGGCCCAGGGAAAACACATCGGCAAAGTCCAGCTGCAGGTCAGTCACTCTACCATTTCTACTCTTTCCTTAGCTTCTTTTTTTTCTCCCTCACAAAAACAAAAGCTTTTTTCATTTCCTCAAACGTTGCTTTTGCTTCACTTGTTCTCTTCACTTTTCACCTTCCTTTTCCTCTCTACACGACTCTACTTATTAAAACATATTACACTTTTATCACATTGTTATAACACAGTTATTGCTACTAATCAGACTTATCACTGTTTTTAATTCTAGTCAGATTTCTGTGTTGTATCTTACGTTGCTCTCTTTCTCTCTAGGTGCGTTCTGAGGAGATGGGTAATGGTACCCAGCCGATGGGCTCACCCCTCTCCCTCCCCGCCATCTGCCGTACCTTCTGCCCCACCTCCCACTCTTACATCATCACTGGGGGACTGGGTGGCTTCGGGCTGGAGCTCGCCCATTGGCTGACGGAGAGAGGCGCCCGCAAACTGGTGCTCACCTCCAGATCGGGCATCCGCAACGGTAAGAGAGAGACAAGAACTCACAACTTTTACTTGCATGGCTAACTAGGTTAGTACTCTCCCATTTTGATGTGTGCTGTGTTGTAAAGCCATTATGTTGTTACATTAGCTACACACTGTTGATTTGTTTGTGACAGTCCAGTCACCTTTGTTATTGTCGGTTCATGTTGCTAGGTTACCAGGCGAAGCGCGTGCGTGAGTGGCAGGGGATGGGCGTGCAGGTGCTGGTGTCCACCAGTGATGTCAGCACCCAGGAGGGGGCGGAGCAACTCATCAACGAGGCCTGCAGGCTGGGGCCTGTGGGAGGAGTCTTTCACCTCGCCATGGTAACGCCCCCCTCCTACCTGTACACTGTTCTCACCTGTCTTAACCTGTCTCTCTTTATAACCTGTCTCTCTCACCTGTCCCTGTTTCACCAGTCTTAACCTGTCTCTCTTTATAACCTGTCTCTCTCTAACCTCTCTCTCTTTCTCTCTAACCGGTTTCTCTCTCTAACCAGTCTCTCTATAACCTGTATCTGTCTAACTTGTCTGTGTGTGTACCAGGTGTTGAAGGATGGGATGCTAGAGAATCTGACTCCTCAGCTGTTCCTGGATGTCAACAAACCCAAATATAACGGCACCCTCCACCTGAACAAGTGAGGGGACATTCTCCAGCCTGATATAGTGCTATCCTCAACCTTGGCTCTGCCTCGCTTCCCTCGGAAGAGAGTCAAATTAGTTTGGTTTGAATTTAAGTTAAAATCCAAGACAATGGTTGAAAAACAAGAATAATATATATTTTAGAGCAACAAATATTTGAGACCCAAAAACCCACATGATCACATTTTGGAGACAAAATGAATGTCTCATTTATGTTTCTTTTTTCTCCTCAGGGTGACCAGAAAGATGTGTCCAGACCTCAGCTACTTCGTAGCCTTCTCCTCTGTGAGCTGCGGCCGTGGCAACGCCGGCCAAAGTAACTATGGTTACGCCAACTCTGCCATGGAGCGTGTGTGTGAGCAGCGGCGCCACGATGGCCTGCCCGGATTGGCTGTCCAGTGGGGCGCCATTGGCGATGTGGGCGTTGTCCTGGAGACCATGGGCGGTAACGACGTGGTGGTGGGTGGGACTCTCCCGCAGCGCATCACTTCCTGTCTGGAGGTGCTGGACCGCTTCCTGTGCGAGCGTCGTCCGGTGATGTCGAGCTTCGTGCTGGCAGAGAGGAGCGTGGTGAAGAGTGAAGGAACAGGACAGAGAGACCTGGTGGAGGCTGTTGCTCATATACTGGGTAAGAGAGTGGTTCCATTCTGGTTTTCTAGAAGTCGTGCTTACTGCCATCTGATTTCGGGAATCTTACAACTGGGATTTCTGGAAAACCTGGGAATTTTGGGAAAGTTACCAGAATTGTGCATCCCTAATTTGGTATGTATTCATCATGTGTGTTTCATGTAACTTCTCACCCTCCCTCTCTCAGGTGTACGTGATGTCAGCAGCCTGAACGCTGACGCCTCATTGGCTGATCTGGGACTAGACTCTCTGATGGGCGTGGAAGTGCGTCAGACACTGGAGCGCGACTACGACATCGTCATGGCGATGAGGGAGATCCGACAACTCACCATCAACAAGCTCCGAGAGCTGTCCAGCCAACCGGCAGGAACAACAGGTGTGTGTTGTGTGTGTGTGTGTGTGTGTTTGTATGTGTGTGTGTTTCATGGGCTAATGTCTCCCTCTCTCTCTCTCCAGAGTCCCATCAGTCTCCAGTGAAGAAGGGAGGAGTTCGTTCTCTGTTGGAGTCAGACCTCAGTTTGATGCTGGTCAACCCAGACGGCCCCACGGTCTCGCGTCTCAACGAGGTGCAGAGTGCTGAGCGCCCGCTGTTCCTGGTCCACCCTATAGAGGGCTCCATCGCTGCCTTCCGCACGCTCACCGCCAAGCTCAGTGTTCCCTGCTATGGCCTGGAGTGCACTAAAGGTACACACTAAGAAATACACACACTAAGAAATACACACACTAAGAAATACACATACATACATGCGCGCGCACACACACAAATATACATACACAAACTCCCTCCTCTTTCACACACAGTAATACTGATACAGTCACACTGATACAGTCATACTGACAGTCACACTGATAGTCACACACAGTCTCATTCTAAAGTTGTAAACTTGATGTAAACGACTGAAACCATCCATCTCCCCCTCATCTCTCTAGCTGCTCCTTTGGACAGTATCCAGTCTCTGGCTACATACTATGTGGATTGTATACGTCAGGTACGTAATATACTAACAACAACTTTATTTGTAATGCTACATTTACATACATGATAGATTCATTAGTGATTTATAAATAACTGTCTGTTTGTGTATAGGTGCAATCAGAGGGTCCGTACCGGATCGCGGGATACTCCTTTGGGGCTTGCGTGGCGTTTGAGATGTGTTCTCAGCTGCAGGCCCAGGGTAGAACCGTAGAGTACCTCTTCCTCTTCGACGGATCACACTCCTATGTCGCTGCTTACACGCAGGTGAGCGCTTACACACACACACGGATACAGACACACACACGGATACAGACACACACACGGATACAGACACACACACGGATACAGACACACATACGGATACAGACACACACGGATACAGACACACACACGGATACAGACACACATACGGATACAGACACACACGGATACAGACACACACACGGATACAGACACATACGGATACAGACACACATACGGATACAGACACACACAGATACAGACACATCGGTGATACGTATGTGTGTACATACTGACACACACAGATGACAGGTTAACAGGATGTACATGTACACAGAGGCTCTCTGAAACGTTCATACTCAGTTCCCTCACAGTGAACTCTACTTCAACACTCCAAACCTCATGATTAACCATAGTGTAGTGTTAGAATACCAACATTAACCATAGTGTAGTGTTAGAATACCAACATTAACCATAGTGTAGTGTTAGAATACCAACATTAACCATAGTGTAGTGTTAGAATACCAACATTAACCATAGTGTAGTGTTAGAATACCAACATTAACCATAGTGTAGTGTTAGAATACCAACATTAACCATAGTGTAGTGTTAGAATACCAACATTAACCATAGTGTAGTGTTAGAATACCAACATTAACCATAGTGTAGTGTTAGAATACCAACATTAACCATAGTGTAGTGTTAGAATACCAACATTAACCATAGTGTAGTGTTAGAATACCAACATTAACCATAGTGTAGTGTTAGAATACCAACATTAACCATAGTGTAGTGTTAAAATACCAACATTAACCGTAGTGTTAGAATACCAACATTAACCATAGTGTAGTGTTAGAATACCAACATTAACCATAGTGTAGTGTTAGAATACCAACATTAACCATAGTGTAGTGTTAGAATACCAACATTAACCATAGTGTAGTGTTAGAATACCAACATTAACCATAGTGTAGTGTTAGAATACCAACATTAACCATAGTGTAGAGATAGAATACCAACATTAACCATAGTGTAGTGTTAGAATACCAACATTAACCATAGTGTAGTGTTAGAATACCAACATTAACCATAGTGTAGTGTTAGAATACCAACATTAACCATAGTGTAGTGTTAGAATACCAACATTAACCATAGTGTAGTGTTAGAATACCAACATTAACCATAGTGTCGTGTTAGAATACCAACATTAACCATAGTGTCGTGTTAGAATACCAACATTAACCATGGTGTAGTGTTAAAATACCAACATTAACCATAGTGTAGTGTTAAAATACCAACATTAACCGTAGTGTTAGAATACCAACATTAACTATAGTGTAGTGTTAGAATACCAACATTAACCATAGTGTAGTGTTAGAATACCAACATTAACCATAGTGTAGTGTTAGAATACCAACATTAACCATAGTGTAGAGATAGAATACCAACATTAACCATAGTGTAGTGTTAGAATACCAACATTAACCATAGTGTAGTGTTAGAATACCAACATTAACCATAGTGTAGTGTTAAAATACCAACATTAACCATAGTGTAGTGTTAAAATACCAACATTAACCGTAGTGTTAGAATACCAACATTAACCATAGTGTAGTGTTAGAATACCAACATTAACCATAGTGTAGTGTTAGAATACCAACATTAACCATAGTGTAGTGTTAGAATACCAACATTAACCATAGTGTAGTGTTAGAATACCAACATTAACCATAGTGTAGTGTTAGAATACCAACATTAACCATAGTGTAGTGTTAGAATACCAACATTAACCGTAGTGTTAAAATACCAACATTAACCATAGTGTAGTGTTAGAATACCAACATTAACCATAGTGTAGTGTTAGAATACCAACATTAACCATAGTGTAGTGTTAGAATACCAACATTAACCATAGTGTAGTGTTAGAATACCAACATTAACCATAGTGTAGTGTTAGAATACCAACATTAACCATAGTGTAGTGTTAGAATACCAACATTAACCATAGTGTAGTGTTAGAATACCAACATTAACCATAGTGTAGAGATAGAATACCAACATTAAGTCATTTTCCTTTCAGAGCTACAAATCCAAGCTGACCCCTGGTAAAGAGTCGGAGGCAGAGACTGAAGCTATGTGTGCCTTCATCCAGCAGTTTACTGGCATCGAGTACAACAAGGTACAACACTTTGCAACACTTTAATTACAGTTGAAGTCGGAAGTTTACATACACTTAGGTTGGAGTCATAAACTGGTTTTTCAACCACTCCACAAATTTCCTGTTAACAAACTATAGTTTTGGCAAGTCGGTTAGGACATTTACTTTGTGCGTGACACAAGTAATTTTTCCAACAATTGTTTACAGACAGATTATTTCACTTATAATTCATTGTATCACAATTCCAGTGGTTCAGAAGTTTACATACACTAAGTTGACTGTGCCTTTAAACAGCTTTAAAAAATCCAGAAAATTATGTCATGGCTTTAGAAGCTTCTGATATGCTAATTAACATCATTTGAGTCAATTGGAGGTGTACCTGTGGATGTATTTCAAGGCCTACCTTCAAACCCAGTGCCTCTTTGCTTGACATCATGGGAAAATCAAAAGAAATCAGCTAAGACCTCAGAATTTTTTTTGTAGACCTCCACAAGTCTGGTTCATCCTTGGGAGCAATTTCCAAACACCTGAAGGTACCACGTCCATCTGTAGAAACAATAGTACGCAAGTATAAACACCATGGGACCACGCAGCCGTCATACCGCTCAGGAAGGAGCTCCTAGAGATGAATGTACTTTGGTGCGAAAAGTGCAAATCAATCCCAGAACAACAGCAAAGGACCTTGTGAAGATGCTGGAGAAAACAGGTACAAAAGTATCTATATCCACAGTAAAACGAGTCCTATATCGACATAACCTGAAAGGCTGCTCAGCAAGGATGAAGCCACTGCTCCAAAACCGCCATAAAAAGCCAGACTACAGTTTGCAACTGCACATGGGGACAAAGATCGTACCTTTTGGAGAAATGTCCTCTGGTCTGATGAAACAAAAATAGAACTGTTTGGCCATAATGACCATCGGTATGTTTGGAGGAAAAAGGGGGCGGCTTGCAAGCCGAAGAACACCATCCCAACCGTGAAGAACGGGGGTGGCAGCATCATGCTGTGGGGATGCTTTGCTGCAGGAGGGACTGGTGCACTTCACAAAATAGATGGCAACATGAGGAAGGAAAATGATGTGGATATATTGAAGCAACATCTCAAGACATCAGTCAGGAAGTTAAAGCTTGGTTGCAAATGGGTCTAACAAATGGACAATGACCCCAAGCATACTTCCAAAGTTGTGGCAAAATGGCTTAAGGACAACAAAGTCAAGGTATTGGAGTGGCCATCACAAAGCCCTGACCTCAATCCTATAGAAAATGTGTGGGTAGAACTGAAAAAGCGTGTGCGAGCAAGGAGGCCTACAAACCTGACTCAGTTACACCAGCTCTGTCAGGAGGAATTTTTACTAGGATTAAATGTCAGGAATTGTGAAAAACTGAGTTTAAATGTATTTGGCTAAGGTGTATGTAAACTTCCGACTTCAACTGTATATACACTATATATGTATACTTTCATTTATTTTCATTTGGCCCTCTCTCTTTTTCTCCTTCTCTCTCTGTTCCCCTCTCCCTCTATCCCCCTCTCTCTCTCTCTGTACCCCCCCTCATTCTCCCTCTTTCTCTACCCCCTCTCTCAATTTCAATGTTCAATTTAAGGGCTTTATTGGCATGGGAAACGTATGTTAACATTGCCAAAGCAAGTGAAGTAGATAGTAAACAAAAGTGAAATAAACAATAAATATTAACAGTAAACATTACACTCAGAAGTTCTAAAAGAATAAAGACATTTCAAATGTCATTATGTGTATATATACAGTGTTGTTAAAATGTGCAAATAGTTAAAGTACAAATGGGAAAATATATAAACATAAATATGAGTTGTATTTACAATGGTGTTTGTTCTTCACTGGTTGCCCTTTTCTTGTGGCAACAGGTCACACATCTTGCTGCTGTGATGGCACACTGTGGTATTTCACCCAGTAGATAAGGGAGTTTATCAAAATTGGGTTTGTTTTCGAATTATTTGTGGGTCTGTGTAATCTGAGGGAAATATGTGTCTCTAATATGGTCATACATTTGGCAGGAGGTTAGGAAGTGCAGCTCAGTTTCCACCTCATTTTGTGGGCAGTGTGCACGAATCCTGTCTTCTCCAGGTCGGCCTACGGCGGCCTTTTTCAATAGCAAGGCTATGCTCACTGAGTCTTTACATAGTCAAAGCTTTCCTTAATTTGGGGTCAGTTACAGTGGTCAGGTATTCTGCCACTGTGTGCTCTCTGTTTAGGGCCAAATAGCATTCCAGTTTGCTCAGTGTTTTTGGTAAATTCTTTCCACTGTGTTAAGTAATTATCTTTTTGGTTTTCTCATGATTTGGTTGGGTCTAATTGTTTTGCTGTCTTGGGGCTCTGTGGGGTCTGTTTGTGTTTCTGAACAGAGCCCCAAGACCAGCTTGCTTAGGGGACTCTTCTCCAGGTTAATCTCTCTGTAGGTGATGGCTTTGTTATGGAAGGTTTGGGAATCATTTCCTTTTAGGTGGTGGTAGATTTTTAACGGCTCTTTTCTGGATTTAATAATTAGCGGGTATCGGCCGAATTCTGCTCTGCATGCATTATTTGGTGTTTTATGTTGTACACAAAGGATATTTTTGCAGAATTCTGCATGCAGTCTCAATTTGGTGTTTGTCCCATTTTGTGAATTCATGGTTGGTGAGTGGACCCCAGACCTCACAACCATAAAGGACAATGGGTTCTATAACTGATTCAAGTATTTTTTAGCCAGATCCTAATTGGGATGTCGAATGTTATGTTCCTTTTGATGGCGTAGAAGGCCCTCTTGCCTTGTCTCTCAGATCGTTCACAGCTTTGTGGAAGTTGCCTATGGTGTTGATGTTTAGGCTGAGGTGTGTGTATACATCGTTTTTATGTGCTCTAGGGCAATGGTGTCTAGATGGAATTTGTATTTGTGGTCCTGACAACTGGACCCTTTTTGGAACACCATTATTTTTGTCTTACTGAGGATTACTGTCAGGGCCTAGGTCTGACAGAATCTGTGCAGAAGATCTAGGTGCTGCTGTAGGCCTTCCTTGGTTGGTGACAGAAGCACCAGATCATCAGCAAACAGTAGACATTTGACTTCAGATTCTAGTAGGGTGAGGCCGGGTGCTGCAGACTGTTCTAGTGCCCTCGCCAATTGGATGATATATGTATGTTGAAGAGGGTGGAGCTCAAGCTGCATCCCTGTCTCACACCACGGCCCTGTGGAAAGGAATGTGTGTTTTTTGCCAATTTTAACTTCACACTTGTTGTTTGTGTACATGGATTTTATAATGTATGTTTTTCCCCCAACACCACTTTCCATCAATTTGTATAGCAGACCCTCATGCCAAATTGAGTCAAAAGCTTTTTTGAAATCAACAAAGCATGAGGAGACTTTGCCTTTGTTTTGGTTTGTTTCTTTGTCAATTAGGGTGTGCAGGGTGAATACGTTGTCTGTCGTACAGTAATTTGGTAAAAAGGCAATTTTGATATTTGCTCAGTATATTGTTTTCACTGAGGAAATGTACGAGTCTGCTGTTAATTATAACCCTAATTGACCTATTATAACCCCTCCCCCCACCTCTTTCTAGTTGTTGGAGACCCTCCTCCCTCTGTCTGATCTGAAGGCCCGTGTCAACATGGCGGTGGACCTCATCACCTCCAGCCATAAGAACGTCAGTAAAGACTCCCTGCGATTCGCCGCCGCCACATTCTACTACAAACTCAAGGCTGCCGACAGTTACATTCCAGCAACCAAATACCATGGCAACGTCACCCTGCTCCGCGCCAAGGCCAGCAGTGACTACGGAGACAACCTGGGGGCTGACTACAAACTGAGCGAGGTGATTGCACGTGCGCACACACAACACACACACACACACACACACTTACACACAAACATCTTCTATAATAACAGGCTTTGTTTCTCCCCAGGTGTGTGATGGTAAGGTGTTGGTCCACGTCATTGAGGGAGACCACCGCAGCTTCCTTGAAGGAGAAGGGGTGGAGTCTATCAGCAGCATAATCCACAGCACATTGGCCGAGCCACGCATCAGTGCCCGAGAGGGTTAGACCAGTCCCGCCCATTCACAGCCCTCTCCCATCATGAAATCTTAACCCCATTGGTCAATACATATAATGGACGCAACCCTCAACCTATTAAAGCTCTTGGCTCGCTGCCACAGGGTATGTTCCCATGGGAACAAAACGTGCTGTATGTAATGCTACCAATAATGTCTTCTCTTTTTATTTTTTAAAATCTTGTCTCTTCATCATGTTTTGAATGGTAGAATAAGTCTCCATACTGATAATCCTGCTACAACTGGAAACCCGCTGGCTCAACCCTATAGCTAGCCTAGCATGTGAGCCTTGCTGTGTTGCCAACTGACTAGTGACTAGATAACCTACCTAGCTGCTGTGTTATGATCCTGCTAAAGGGTGTGTCGTTACCTTGGTGATAAAGCTGTGTGGATGGACCCTTTACCTACTCATTGTGTGTTTGTGCGTGTATGTGCATGTTTTATTGTATGCCAAACCCTAACAGTGCCCAAATGATGCAGACATGGGTCTGTTCCTCCAGGACATAGCCTCCTGTCTCTCACATGTCTTTCATCTGTTCAAGCTCTGTACCTGTTACCAGGAAGTTGACATTGTTACATGGTTGTCTGTGTCTGGGGAAGTTTTATTTTCTGTTTGTATTGCATCAGGGTTTGTTTACCAGCTTTGGTCAGAAGTTGAGTTAAGATCCCTATTTTAGTAGATTTTGATGTTTGTTTTGTTTCCTTGTAGAGATACAGTGGCTGATGTAGTGTTGTTACACTGATCCACTTAAGGTAGGTTCACACAGTGAAATGCAGAAGACTCCCCAACTTGACAACTAAAGGTCTTACTGTCGCTACAAGGAAATTGATCAAGTGTTTGACTGATACCATATTTGATCAAGTTAATAACTTTATTACCTATTCAGCTGTTTACTGGAAATAAGACTCTGTCTTTCCAGTTAAGAACCTTTTGAAAACAACAGTATTCTTCTGGGTTGAGATCTGGGTGTGTTGTCATTCCTGTGTGAGTACACCTTTAAGAGGACTGATTGGATATCTACAGTTCACATTTCTATGACGTCGGCTTCTTTGACAGGAAAAAAAGTAATTTAAATTGCTGCTGTTTAAGAATGTTCAATGTAACTAGCTACAATGGATTACTAATATTACTAAATTAACATTGTTTTCTTTTCCTTAAATGGGAAGACATTTTCCAACATTCCTGAAATATTGTTACACAAGACTAATGTAAAAAACAAAACAAAAAAGTACTACTGCTGTCAACATGCAATGCTTCAAAACGCATTGGCACTTGTTTGAAAGGAAATGGAGCAATGGTCCAGTATTTGGGTAGTGCCATACAAGTGATGTCCTGCTAAACCTATTGTCGTGTTCACTAGGGCACAATGTAGCAAAATGCTTTGCAACTGAAAACGAGCATTCATTTTTTGTGCCCACTGAACATGACCTGATTTTACTGTCTCACTGAAAGAGTAGTAGTTTGTCCATGCTTCCATTTTGTTTGTGATGTGGAATCATTGATCTGAAGAACGGGCCTTGTTGAGGAGTAGGTAGAATTTACCCCTAACCACTAGTCCAGGAACAGATACTTTACTGTCCTCCTGTTAGGACTGTGGGCAGGGTAATCTGATCCTAGATCTGTGGTTACGAGGCAACTTTATACCTCCAGCTGTTTTTGACTCCCATGACCTTTGCTGACCCCTGAAGGTCCTCTAAGATCTGGGGTCCAATCCCAGAATGCAACAGACTGACCTGACTTCTGAGACTTCTAATCAGGTCTATGAAGTGTCAGGTGACTAATTTGAACACTGTGATTGGCTGCAGTAAAAAGGAGGAGGAAATTGACGGTGTGTTCCTCTAGTTGTATTTATTGTATTAGTCTAAATAAAGAGCTATTACTAACGTCCTGCCTCACTGTCTGTCTGGTCTATATAAACTTAACAAATAAATTATAGTTCTCAACAAGTAGTCTCCTCAGAGTATTCAACTGATTTGAGAGGTGGGCATGGAATAGAAGGAGAACTTGTTATGCACCAAACACGTATCAGGGGTTACTTTATTGCCCTGGGCAAGTGAACTGAGCAGTTGGACCCCATTTGAGCAGCTCACATTTATTTTACTGAAAACAATCAACCACACTGCAAATAATTCCTGTAGCCTAAAACTGATCTTTCTGGTTCCTCCTAACTGTCAGTCTTTCACTTCAACAAGTTATGACATTTGTCTGTAAACAGCTTTTTTCACAAGTGTCTAATCTTCGGGCAATAGTAATCATCGGGCATTCATAAAATACTCCTGGCCTTTCACACTTTGTCAATCCCTGCGTATAACTGACCATACATCCCCACACATTCCGTATGTAATCAGATGTCCTATATCTCTAAATGGGTGTTATTTCTTTGCTGGTCATGTGTTTATCGTATAGACGTTACCACTAAAAAGTCACACAGCATTCTGCTAGTACACACTACAGGTCTGCCTTTAAAGTTACTATGAGGTGTGTGTGTGTTCCTTTGAGTTTCAGTACAGATGATGTGAGTGAGAGCGATAAGATGCATGCACACATGACTGTCAGTCACGTTGGGTAAAAGCGTCTGCTAAATGGCATATTATTATATATTATAAGAAACAAGACCACTGGATTGACCTTTCAGTCCAACAGGGGGCTTTCTACCGCTCAGACACGAGGAATGCATCCCAAATGAAACCTATTCTCTACGTACTGCTCTGGTCAAATGTAGTGCACTATGTAGGGAATAGGGTGCCATTTGGGACGCAGACTGGGACACTCATAGAGGAGACAGACTGATTAAACCACAGCCTTGGATGTTCAAAGGCTGTTATGATACAGAGAGAGAGAGAGAGACATCTAAATGCATATGCCCTCACTGTCCTCTCTCCGTTGGTGTTCATCATCTGAATAAAGTCAATGAACTGCTGTCTATCTGTCCTATCATCTCACATGTATTTACCTGGTCCAGGCATCCATGTAGGCGACAAAATAAGTCAATAAATCTATCATTTCAGAGCTTGAGAAGAAAATACTTTTATCCACATTTCTATCCACAGCCACAAAGTTGACGTGAGGACGAGTTTACAACAGGACTGCACGTTAGGATTGGTCTTCCTCAATGATGATAAATGATAGATATTGGTATTATGATGCTATCTGTGTTGGGTGGATGGATGCATGGTGGCCTACGACTAGGTAATGATGTTATACTGAATGGTTATTAGAGACTACAGCAGCAGAGCTCATCTCATAGAGGATCAGTCACAGATCCATCTCTTTTTCATCTCAATCTCTGTAACACTATATCTAGTCTCTACCTCTCACTCTCTCTTTCTCTCACACTATTTCTCTACCTCTTTCCCTCTCTTGCTTTCTCTAACTTCTTTCCTTCTCTGTCACTCTTTCTTCCTCTCTTCTTCCTCTTTCTCTCTCTCTCTCTCGCGTTCTCTCTCGCTCTCTCGCTCTTTCCTGTGTCAATTGATCTCACTTATTCCATTAGAGATCTTCAGCACAGGTCAATGAGTTAATGAGTATCTGGGGTTGAACCAGAGCTGTTGGATGGTAGGCAGTTCAATTATCTCATGAACACCGCCCCCATGCATCAACATTCCTTTGTTTTGAAAGGGAATATGCACTGGTTGAATCAACGTTGTTTCCACGTCAGTTCGATTAAATTACGTTGAACCAACGTGGAATAGACGTTGACGTCTGTGCCCAGTGGGTAGGTTGGTGTGATTCTCTGAATGGAGATTCATTAACAAAGGTGATCTTCAACTAAGACCCTTGCCTTTCCCCATGGGCAAAAGTGGTTGTGATTATGAAGTCATTTCAAACAGCTTTAACCGGTAGGATGTGATTGCTTTTGGGCGTTCTATTGTTACAGGGGGGAGCAGGGTTACTCTGATACTCTGCTGAGTCAGTTGGGGAAATAGCGTCAAGGAATGATGTCACCAGTCAGGTGACAAAGCCTCAGACCAGGGTTGTGGTCAATTGACACTAAATTTATACTGAACAAAAATATAAACACAACATGTAAGGTGCTGGTCCCATGTTTCATGAGCTGAAATAAAAGATCCCAGAAAAATGTATTTCTCTCAGATTTTGTGCAGACATTTGTTTACATCCCTGTTAGCATTTCTCCTTTGCCAAGATAATCCATCCACCTGACTGGTGTGGCATATCAAGAAGCTGATTAAACAGTATCATCATTACAAAGGTGCACCTTGTGCTGGTGACAATAAAAGGCCACTAAAATTAGCAGTTTTGTCACACAACACAATGCCACAGATGTCTAAAAGTTTGATGGAGTGTGCAATTGGCATGATGACTGCAGAAATGTCCACCAGAGCTGTTGCCAGAGAATTGAATGTTAATTTCTCTACCATAAGCCGCCTTCAACGTCATTTTAGAGAATTTGGCAGTACATCCAGCTGGCCTCACAACCCCAGATCATGTGTGACCACGCCAGCCCAGGACCTCCACATCCGGCTTCTTCACCTGTGGGATGGTCTGAGACGAGCCACCCGGACAGCTGATGAAACTGGGTTTACACAACCGAATAATTTCTTTACAAACTGTCAGAAACCGTCTCAGGGAAGCTCATCTGCGTGCTCATCATCCTCACCAGGGTCTTGACCTGACTGCAGTTCGGCGTCGTGACCGACTTCAGTGGGAAAATGCTTACCTTCAATGGCCACTGGCACGCTGGAGAAGTGTGCTCTTCACAGATTAATCCCGGTTTCAACTGTACCGAGCAGATAGCAGACAGCGTCTATTGCGTCGTGTGGGCAAGCGAATTGCTGATATCAACGTTGTGAACAGAGTGCCCCATGGTGGCGGTGGGGTTTTGGTATGGGCAGGCATAAGCTACAGACAATGAACACAATTGCATTTTATCGATGGCAATTTCAATGCACAGAGATAACATGACGAGATCCTGAGGCCCATTGTCGTGCCATTCATCTGCCACCATCACCTCATGTTTCAGCATGATAATGCGCGGCACCATGTCACAAGGATCTGTGCACAATTCCTGGAAGCTGAAAATTTCCCAGTTCTTCCATGGCCTGCATACTCACCAGACATCTCACCCATTGAGCATGTTTGGGATGCTCTGGATCGACGTGTACAACATCGTGTTCCAGTTCCCGCCAATATCCAGCAACTTCGCACAGACATTGAAGAGGAGTGGGACAACATTCCACAGGCCACAATCAACAGCCTGATCAACTCTATGCGAAGGAGATGTGTCACGCTGCATGAGGCAAATGGTGGTCACACCAGATACTGACTGGTTTTCTGATCCACGCTCCTACTTAAAAACAAAAAAGATATCATATCTGTGTTCCCAGTCATGTGAAATCCTTAGATTAGGGCCTAATTTATTTATTTCAATTGACTGATTTCCTTATTTGAACTGTAACTCAGTAAAATCTTTGAAATTGTTGCATGTTGCGTTTATGCAGTGGGGAGAACAAGTATTTGATACACTGCCGATTTTGCAGGTTTTCCTAATTACAAAGCATGTAGAGGTCTGTCATTTTTATCATATGTACACTTAAACTGTGAGAGACGGAATCTAAAACAAAAATCCAGAAAATCACATTGTATGATTTTTAAGTAATTCATTTGCATTTTATTGCATGACATAAGTATTTGATACATCAGAAAAGCAGAACTTAATATTTGGTACAGAAACCTTTGTTTGCAATTACAGAGATCATACGTTTCCTGTAGGTCTTGACCAGGTTTGCACACACTGCAGCAGGGATTTTGGCCCACTCCTCCATACAGACCTTCTCCAGATCCTTCAGGTTTCGGGGCTGTCGCTGGGCAATACGGACTTTCAGCTCCCTCCAAAGATTTTCTATTGGGTTCAGGTCTGGAGACTGTCTAGGCCACTCCAGGACCTTGA